TCCGTCCGCCTCCTCCTGTTCCTCCTCCACCTCCACCTCCGCCTCCGCCTCCTCCTCCTCCTCCTCCTCCTCCTCCTCCTTCTCAGCCTCCTCCTCCTCTTCCTTCTTCTTCTCCTCCTCCTCCTCCTCCTCCTCCTCCTCCTCCTCCTCCTCCTCCTCCTCCTCCTCCTCCTCCTCCTCCTCCTCCTCCTCCTCCTCCTCCTCAGCCCGGAGAGCGCGCGCGGAGCGGGGGGGTGCTCCCCTGTTCCCCTGCCCCCCTCCGCGTCGGTGGCGCTCCTGGGGCCCAAAGGAGGAATCGTGACCTGGGTTTTTGCCTGTGGCGCTCCTGGGGCCCAAAGAAGGAATCGTGACCTGGGTTTTTGCCTGTGGCGTTTTTTGTTTTGCCTTGCGCGTCGGGCCCCCGGGCCCTGCCGGAGAGCGCGCGCGGGGCTGGGGGTGCTCCCCTGCTCCCCTGCTCCCCTCCGCGTCGGTGGCGCTCCTGGGGCCCAAAGAAGGAATCGTGACCTGGGTTTTTGCCTGTGGCGCTCCTGGGGCCCAAAGAAGGAATCGTGACCTGTTTTTTTGCCTGTGGCGCCTTTTTTTTTGCCTTGCGCGTCGGGCCCCCGGACCCTGCCGGAGAGCGCGCGCGAGGCGGGGGAGGTGCTCCCCTGCTCCCCTGCTCCCCTCCGCGTCGGTGGCGCTCCTGGAGCCCAAAGAAGGAATCGTGACCTGGGTTTTTGCCTGTGGCGCTCCTGGGGCCCAAAGAAGGAATCGTGACCTGTTTTTTTGCCTGTGGCGCTTTTTTTTTGCCTTGCGCGTCGGGCCCCCGGACCCTGCCGGAGAGCGCGCGCGAGGCGGGGAGGTGCTCCCCTGCTCCCCTGCTCCCCTCCGCGTCGGTGGCGCTCCTGGAGCCCAAAGAAGGAATCGTGACCTGGGTTTTTGCCTGTGGCGCTCCTGGGGCCCAAAGAAGGAATCGTGACCTGTTTTTTTGCCTGTGGCGCTTTTTTTTTGCCTTGCGCGTCGGGCCCCCGGACCCTGCCGGAGAGCGCGCGCGAGGCGGGGGGGGGTGCTCCCCTGCTCCCCTGCTCCCCTCCGCGTCGGCGACGCTCCACAGGCAAAAACGATGTTTGTTTGCCTGTGGTGTTTTTTTTTGTGCCTTGCGTGTCTTTTTTTTTTGCCTTGCGCGTAATCTCTGGTAGACCTCAGGGCGCCGTGGAGGTGGTGCCGTCACGGGGGCCGCAGGCTCGCGTTCGGCGTCGCCTACCTCCCCCGGATCCGAGATGGACCCGATCTCCTCGACTCCCTCCGATCCCGCGTGGTAAGGAGTCGCCCGCTCGGCCCCTACCAGGTCCTCCTCGCCGTCGGCAGGGGAGGCACCGTGGAGGGTGGCGAACTGCTCGCGGAGCAGCCTGACCCTGGACGGATGCGGCCAGCAAGCTCAACCCCGCACCTTCGCAATCGGGACGAGATCGGCTGGCAAAGCCGCGGGCAGCGGCGACAAGGACTCGAGCTCTAACTCGTTGATATCCAAGTCGGTCACGTCACCAGGATGGAGGCCGCGGTGGCCAGCGCGCGTGAAGCCGCCCCGAAGAGAGGAACGTGCAGCACCACATACGGGCCCGGCAGCCCCGAGAAACCTTCTGCCTCCGCGGCCGCCAAGTCGGCAGCCGAGCGGAAGAATGACTGAAGGGCAAGCAGCACGCCACCGTCTCGTTGCGCAAGCGGTATGGCGGCGAAACTGAGGTCGCCCTCGTCGAGCCGCCATCTGGCGTAGCCCGCCGCAGATGGCGTCTCGAAGGGGTGCAGCTCGGGCCACACGGGGCCCTCTGGAAGCGCTGGCACGGCAGCCACCGTCTCCAGCGTCGTTGGGCAGTTTCCCCCGCCGAGCCTCGCGTTGGGTCCGCAGAAGAACCGTCAGCGTGCCCGTGGCGACGGAGCCCGCGCGGGCGGCCCGAAGGCCGACCCGAGGGGACTAGCCCCGACGCGGCGACGCGGGCCGAAGGGTTGGTGAGGCCCTCAGAGAAGTCGTGTCCTCCCTCGCTTTCGCTGCCAAGCGAAACCAAATCATGCCATGCACCCCGCGCGCGGCACACGCGAGCCAGGTACGGGCCCGCGCAGCGGACCGCCAGGCCCGAGAGACAGCAGCCTCCGCTGAAGCTGCAGCAAGCGGCCACTCCCACGGGCGAAGGGACCGTGGCGAGCAGCAGAGGAGAGACCCCGCTGCTCAGGTCCACCGCCAGCCCGAGGCAGACGGTGGGACAGGACGCGGATCCCTCGGAGGACTGGCACTCCGCCGCTGCTCCGAGGCCCGCCGCCTGAGACGGCCAAGAGGACCCAAAGGCTGGGGCCTCCTGGTCCGTCGAGGGCGGCCAGCGAGCCGCTCGAAGAGCGCGGCTCGCAGACCCTGGTAGAGCGCAGCGTCAGCCGCCTCCACCAACAGCTCGACGGCGCGCTGCATCAGCGGGCCGCGGGCCGAAGGGGGGGGGCCACTGGGCCGAAACACTGCAGAGACCGCAGGGGGAGGTCGCAGAGAATATGAGGAGCAGGAGGAGGAGGAGGAGGAGGAGGAAGTACCACTTAGCACTCAGCTCGGCAAGCCCCGACAAGTATCCAAAGCTCGGATCTAGCTTTGCTTGAGCCGCCCACGACGGGCCGTTAGTCGTCGCAGCTCGGACATGCACCCTGCATGCTCCGCTTCCTCTGGAAAGATGCCGTTCAAGGGCGACAGCACTCTCGATTGAAGCAGGCAGGCACGTGTGAAGGAGAGTGGTTGGTGCAGGTGCTGGTTTTCTCTGATTCTGCGCATGCATCGCGATAGTGCCACCTCCAACCTGTAATTGTCAGGGAAAAGAAAGACTCGAGTGTGGCAAACTCGACTTTGCCGAACGAGGACGTCACAAAAATGGCGGGCCTTAGTCTGAAACTTGAGGCAACCTCCCGCTGCGAGTTCTGGCGAACTCGAGTCTGACGCTTCCCCGAATCAGGAGGAAGCCTCCTGCGATTGCGAATTCTTGGCCGCCATCTGCGCGTGACAAAATGCCCGCTGGACAAAGCGGCGAGCAAGCAAGCTAGCCATCAAGCAAGCTAGCAAAATCAGAGCCCAGGTGCCCAGATCGTGTGTCCAGGTCTTTCCCAAGCTCTCGATGTACCGATCACGTGCAGAACGTGAGAAGCGGTTGCTGGTCGTGTGGGGGGGGGAGGGATCGAGGAGGGGCCCTGACATCATCGGGATGCTTTCAAGCAGCTGCGCCTCGCAGAGAGCTTTCCAGGGGTGCCCGAATTGTCCCGAATAGCCGCTGGAGACCCAGCCTATGACCCGAAAGCCAGAACTCCTCGTGTCGCGCAAGAACCACTACTACTGAACGTTTGGCTGTTTTTGAGCTCTGGGGGCCGTTTCTGAGCCCCATGGGAATCAAAAAGCGACTCGGGATGAAAAACAGGTCCCTGGGAGAGGGGGTCCGACCCCTGGGAAGCCGCGATGTGAAAAAAAGCACGACATCGGATGTCTGGAGGGGAGAGCGGAGAGACGCCAAGAAAAGTAAAGAAAGTACCCGGAGCGACGCCAAAACTGGAGGCCGCCCAACTGGGGTCAGGGCACACGCCGTATCGCCCCTGCATCGACGATGCATCGGCGACGTCGGCATGCAGCAAAAAGAGCTCTGGAGGATCGCGCACCGCCTCGCCGATGCATGGGCGATACGGCGCAATCCTCCGACCCACCTGCTCCCTCGAGAACTCTCCGGAGGTCCCCGGCGAGCCCCTGGCGGCACTGCGGGGGCCTCCCGAGGCCTCCCGAAGAGCCCGCGGGCCAGGAAGAGTCGGCGCCAGCAGGGCTCCCAGAGGGCTCCGGACGCCGGCCGGGCGGCTGGGGCGGGCGGCGCCGCGAGGGGGCGGCCCGCCGCACGCCTGCAGGGAGGGGGCCAATGGTTGGGGGGCACCAGACAGCCGGCCGCTGGCCCGGCTGCTTCCCGCACGCGTCCGCTCTCTGGAGCGAGACGTGGCGGCGTCGCCGACAGGGGCGGGGCAGCGAGAGCCGGGGGCTCTGCGCAGCCAGTCGCAGAGCACCCAGCGCGAGGCCGCAGAGCAGGAGACCCCGCGGGCGAGGCGTGCTTGGCGGCGCGCGCGCGGGGGCGGCGGGACGGGGGGCGGCCTTCCCCAAGGACCCTGCCATCCACGCGCCCCGAGAAGCAGGGAGCGGAAGGCTCCTGGCCGTCGTCGGTCTCCGGGGAGCCCTGCCCTTGGGCCGGGAAAGGACAGCGCGGGGCGAGAAGCCCGTCCGCCGGAAGAGGTCCAGATGTCTGGAGGTCCACTCTGCGAAAAAAACGCGATGTCAAGGCGAGGGGGGGCTCTTAGAAGGCAGTGGGGGCATGTTAAGGCCCTGCTGGCGTCAAAGGGGGCATCGTAGAGGCACCCAGGCGCTTCCAATAAGGCGCCTGCCTTCGAAGGAGCCCCCCGCCTTCTTAGAAGGCCGCCCCAGTCGCGCCGCCCCCCTTGCACGCGCCGCCACTGTGCGTCAGGCGCCCGCGTGCACCGGGCTGCTCGCGAGGCTGCACGACACCTCTGGCGCGTCCTTGCCCGCAGGAGCCTCACACCAGCGGTACCCGACCAGATAGAGCACCACCAGCGCGAGCCCGGCCATGCGGACGGTGAATGCCAGCGCCCAGTCCGGCACGCCCCACGTCCTTGCAAACCGCCCACGCGGGGCCAAAGAAGATGCGGTCGGAGGATCGCGCCAGAATGGCGATGCATCGACGACGTCGGTACGCAGAAAACGGGACTCCTAGCTCCAGAGCATAGCGCCGCCTCCCCGATGAATCGGCGATGCGGCGCAGTCCTCCGACCACCTACTCCTGTGGTGTTGAAGGTTATACTTCAGCCCCAAAGCCGAAGACCCTTTTTAGGTACTAGTATCAAGATCCCTGGCTCGACAATGGAGATCGGCAAACTTCCCGTGGGTTTCACAAAGATTTCCAGCACCAGAACTGCGACGCTAGAACCAGCCGAGGCGACAAGAAGAATCCAGGCCTAAGCGTAAGCACCTGGCACGAAACGACACGGGGGGGACGCGCGCGCGCACCCATTTCCCGCACTGCTCGAGTCGCACAATTTTTGCGGCCGAGCGGCATCCTTCCTCTCATAACCTCTCCCAGCAGGAGCAGCAGCAGGAGGAGGGGAGAAAGGGGTAAGACGAGCGGGGGAGGCCCAAAACCCACCCCCACAGGACCGCCAGAGGGACGAGGGGCACTGGGACTGCCAGTCCACAACGCTCCACGTGCCAATCACGAGACGCGAAACACGGCTCCCTCCGCAGCTCTCCCTGGAGGTGCCCGGAGGCCTCCCGAGGAGCAGACCACGCCTGGGCACATCGACCCGCCCTCGGCCCCGGATGGCCCCGCCCGGGAGGCCCAGGCGTCCTCAAGCCCGCGTCGGCGCCTCCGTAGGGCAGCAGCGCGGGGATCGCCGCGGCGACGGCCAGCAGGACCTGCCAGCTGTGCACCGGCTCGCGCTGCGGGGCGTCCTCGGCCGGGCGCGCCGCCCCGGGGCGCGGCAGCTCCCGCCGCGGCCCCTCCCCGCCGGCCTCGGGCGCCCGCCGCTCGCGCAGGGCGTCGCGCTCGGAGAGGGCCCGGCGCCAGGGCTCCCAGCTGTCCTCGGGGGCCGGCGCGCGGCGCAGGGCGCGGGGCGCGCGGCGCAGCGCGGCGAGCGCGGCGGTGAGCAGCGCGAAGTTCGCCAGCGCCACCAGGGCTGGGAGCACGGGCTCCGGCTCGCCCACCAGCGTCTCGGGGTTGGTCTTGAGGGCCCACGCGAGGACGCCGAACACCAGGCCGAACGCGATGCTCAGGGAGGCCAGCCACGCGGGGCACGAGTCGCTGTAGAGGCTGGCGAAGAACAGGGGCGCGAGCGCGCAGCAGAAGATGTTCTGCAGGCCCAGGAGCGCGGACAGCCGGTCCATCGTGAGCGCATCCCATCCGGTCAGCAGCCAGCAAAGCCCCGCCATCAAGAAAGTCATAGCCCGACCGATCCACAATATCGTGCTCTCGTCTGACTCGCAGCCGCACGCACGCATCAAGGGCTGGCACACGTCGAGGGACATCAGCTTCCCAACCTCCATAAGCACGGAGTCTGCGGTGGACATGATGGCCGCCTGCGATGAGGCCAACAACAGCGACCCAACTATGGCACCTGCCCACCCGGACTCGGTGATCTCCAAGCAGACCTGAGAGAACACGGAGTTGGGGACCTTAGGAAGATGCCAGCTTTACACCTACACCGATCCAGGCCAGGCCCATCCTGGTCCCAGGATCGGCGCATAAGCCCTCCTGGCTCAGGGCAGGAAGGCATATACACCGACCCTGGGCCAAGGATCGGCCTGGAGTGCAGGTGTAGGTGTGTAGGTGGTGCCCTCCAACACCTGGCCGCCCCCGTAGCGAGCACGGCCATGGATGCCGATGAGCCCCATCGCGGGAAAGACCACGAAGCTGAACACCGCCAGCACGACCACGGTGAGCCGGACCCGCCCCTGATTGCCGGCAGCCACGTAGCGCGTGAGGATGTCCGGGAACACCACGCGGCCGCCCCCGACCAAGAACATGAAGTTGAACCAGCTCCCCACACCAGTCCCAGCAGGGGGTGCGAGCAGCTCCGGCATCTCCCGCTCCAGGCTGGAGGTGGCGGCCTCGACGCCGCCAAAGACGACAGACTGGACGACGAGCCAGGCGACCACGCCAAGGATCAGCACGCCCCCCTGGAAGACGTCTGTCAGCACCACGGCCCGAAGGCCGCCCACCGCCTCGAAGGTGGCCAGCAGCAGGAAGAAGAAGAGCCCGAACGCCCACTGCGGCAGCGCTCCGTGCGAGAGGGCGGACATGTTCGCGCTGAAGGCGATGAACTGGGCGAGGAGGTAGATCGCGGACGGGATCAGGAACGCGACCTGAGCATCGTTTGACCCATCTCCATCCCCACTGGCATGGCCTTGGCCCCACTGGCTGGCATACCCCCCTGGGCGGGGACATCTTGCTGTTCCCTTCGGGCGGCGCGGGACCTATCCCCACCTGGGGGGCCGGGCTGGTGGGGCTGAGCTACCATGGCCCCGTGGGGATGGAGATCGGTTAGACTGGGCGGATGGCCGTGGCCAGCCAGTGCAGGACAGAGCCCTGCACGTCGCAGCCCTTGCAAGGGAAGATTGGGCCGGTGACGAAGCGGTCGCGCACCACGTCCAAGACCGAGACGTATCCCCTCCGCTTTGAGAGCCAGACCATGCGCGGCGCTATCGAAACCACCATCAGCAGCATCGGGATGATCAGGCCGACCCAGCGCATGTACCCGAACCCCGTGAGGTACGCTTCTGCGGGCAGCCCAGTGACCGTGTAGCCAGAGAAGACGGAGGCCACGGTAGTCAGGGCCAGGAACGCGCCAGGAATCCGCCTGCCCCACAAGTAGTGCGCCTCCATCGCGCTCCCGCTGGTCGCCGCGCGGCACGTCTGGACCTGGGAGTGGACGAGGATGCCCAAGAGCACGGCCAGGTAGATAGCCAAGACCGTCCAAACGGTCGCATCAGCCATGGCACAAATAATGAGCCGTATCGGCGAGTTGGCAATCAGTAAGCTCTGCAAAACCCGGGGTGCTTGAGGCCAAGACTTGAGCCACGATCGGCGTCATGTATTACAACACTCACGCGCCGGTAACGGCGCCTTCAGCCATGCGATCTGCACGCTGCAAATATTCTGAGTGGCTTGCCCAATATGTTTAGAGTATTCGCTCTTCGGCTGCAGAGGCAAGTAGCAACAACGTCCACACGGAGGATGTGGTGCCTTCGAAAGTAATGAAGCCGCGAGCACACTCCCGCTCAAGCTGAATCTCTAATGCAAATTAGCTCATACCAAGCCATCTACTTTCGACCTTGGGTGAGCCAGGGGGGGAAGCTGATGGGGCGGGGAACCCTCACAGCACAGCCGCTGCTGCCACATGCTCAACCGTACAGGCCAAAGGTATAGCTTCAACTCATCTGCGCGATGGAAGTGCGGGTGGGAGATTGAGACTGAGGGTAGGGATATGATCTGCATATGTGTGAGTCATTTCGCTTGTCAAATAGCTATGATATGCTTCAACGCCCTGTATCAGCAGAGAGCGCCCCCTAGTCGTTGTGAGCCTCGTGGCCACTCACAACCAATTCAGTGCACACATGATGTGTCCGTTCACTGCCCTCTAGCCCTTGCCATGGCTGCTGCTGTTTGTTACCTCGCGCGCTAAAGGGATGCCTACATCAGCATATGCACCTACGGTGGAGGGTGTAGGTAAGTTACCTTCGATCAGGAACCCAGGGTCTCGCGACCGATGGGCGGCCTGACGTCGGCCATCCACCTCGCCTTGCAACAAGAAGGAATTCGCCAGGGTCTGGGCCCCAGGAAGACGCTCCTTGTGCAATGCCGCTGCCGTATATGTGTGCACACGTATTCCTCCTCGTACCTGTTTGCAAGCTGGGGGGGCGGGAGACAATCCCCCCCGGAAAAAAACCGGACCCCCAGGACTCGTGGCCCCGGGGCCCCCCTGGACGCCCCTGCAGGATGACCCCCCAGGCTTTCCAGAGCTCCTGGGCGCCCGTGCCGGGCCTAGGCAACGGGCCCAGATCGGTCACGAGGGCGGCCGAACGGCCCCCTGAGGGCCCCAAGAGGATTTCGAAACGCAGAGAAAAATTGAGGTTCGAAGGTTTTTGTATGATTTTTGGAATGCTGTGTTCTTCGGTCTTCCGGGTATCCGAGACCGCCCAAGAGGCCCGAAAATCGCTCCAAAACTATCCGAAAGGGCTTCCAGGCAGTCCAAGAGAGCCCCAAGACGGCACCATAGGGTTCCAAGATGGCCCGAAGAAAGCCCCATGACGCCCCAAGATGGCCTCAATGTGCCCCCCGACGCATTCCAAATCGCGATCCAGTCTTTCAGGGAGACCGCGGTTGAAAGCAGGGTGCTGGCCCGAGGAAGACCCCAGAGGCCCCCAGAAGGCGCCCAGGAGGCCTCCAGAGAGCCCCGAGGAGCCTTGAAATTATCCTGGCGAAGGACCCAACCATATGCAGTTGTGGGTACCGCAATTGTGAAAATCTTCTTCGGTGAAACTCCCTATGGGGCCACGAAGCGCTGCACTGGGTGGGGGGGAACGCTGTTCTGGGTGAGTGGTGTGTCAAGTCAGGTTTCCGGGGCGCATGCGGACGGTCCCACTGGGGGGTTCGGTGGAGGTCCCTATGGGGCCACGAAACGCTGTACTGGACAAGCGAAAATGCCAAATTGAGCTTCCGGGACGCATGCGGACGGTCCCACTGGAGGCTTCGGTGGAACTCCCTACGGGGCTACGAAACGCTGTGCTGGGTGGGCGAAAATGCAAAATTGGGCTCCCGGGACGCATGCGGACGGTCCCACTGGGGGCTTCGGTGGAGCTCACTAAGGGGCCATGAAACGCTGTATTGGGTGTGTAAAAATGCCACGTTGGGCTTTCGGGACGCATGCGGAGGGTGGCACTGGGGCCTTCGGTGGAATTCCCTACGGGGCCACGAACTTCTGGACTGGGTGAGTGAAAATGCCACACTGAGTGTTTCGGGACGCGCTCGGACGGTCCCACTGGGGCCTTCGGTGGGGCTCCCTGTGGGGCCACGAAACGCTGCACTGGGTGGGTGAAAATGCCACATTGGGTGCGCGGGGCGCATGCGGACGGTGGCACTGGGGCCTTCGGCGGAGCTCCCTGTGGGGCCACGAAACGCTGTAATGGGTGGGTGGGAATGCCAAATTGGGCGTTTCAGGACGCACTCGGACGGTCCCACTGGGGGCTTCGGGGGAGCTCCTTATGTGGCCACGAAACGCTGTACTGAGTGGGGGGGACGCATGCGGACGGTAGCACTGTGAACTTCGGTGGGGCCCCCTGTGGGGCCACGAAACGCTGTACTGAGTGGGGGGGACGCATGTGGACGGTGGCACTGGGGCCGTCGCTGGATCTCCCTATGGGGCCACGAAGCGCTGTACTGAGCGGGGGGGGCGCACTGTGGACGGTGGCCACTGGGGCCTTCGGTGGGGTTCCCTATGGGGCCACGAAACGCTGTACTGAGTGGGGGGGACGCATGTGGACGGTGGCACTGGGGCCTTCGGTGGAGCTCCCTATGGGGCCACGAACGCTGTACTGAGTGGGGGGGACGCATGTGGACGGTGGCACTGGGGCCTTCGGTGGAGCTCCCTATGGGGCCACGAAACGCTGTACTGAGTGGGGGGGACGCATGTGGACGGTGGCACTGGGCTTCGGTGGAGCTCCCTATGGGGCCACGAAACGCTGTACTGCGTGGGGGGGCGCATGCGGCGGTGGCACTGTGACCTTCGGTGGAGTTCCCGATGGGGCCACGAAACGCTGTACTGAGCGGGGGGGGCGCATGTGGACGGTGGCACTGGGGCCTTCGGTGGAGCTCCCTATGGGGCCACGAAACGCTGTACTGAGTGGGGGGGACGCATGTGGACGGTGGCATTGGGGCCTTCGGTGGAGCTCCCTATGGGGCCACGAAACGCTGTACTCAGTGGGGGAGACGCATGTGGACGGTGGCACTGGGGCCTTCGGTGGAGTTCCCTACGGGGCCACGAAACGCTGTATTGAGTGGGGGGACGCATGTGGACGGTGGGTGGCACTGGGGCCTCCGGTGGAGCTCCCTATGGGACCACGGAACGCTGTACTGGGTGGGGGGGACGCATGCGGACGGTAGGGAGGAGGGGGAAGAGGAGGAGAGAAGGAGATGAGGAACGCGGGGACCGTCTCTTCAAAACGAGGACCCAAGAACACAGGTTGGTTGGGAAAAACTGTCGTGAGGTCCCAAAGGGGTCTCGAAGAAGGAACCTCCGCAGACAGAGCTGAGGAGGATGATAACAATTCGCAAGGTAGGGCGAGAATGAGAAGGAGGAGGAAACATGGAGGGAAGGATGCTGGAACACCTTGCTAGAACGGCGATGTCTGGAAGGGCAACCAAGACCTATCGCTAAAGTGTATGGTTTACCGCCCTGCCCTTCCGTCTGCATGCCAAGTTCAAAGACCAAGGTGCATGATGCGAAGCTCCAATGCAATGTTGTCTGTATTTCTGTATGTGCATATCCGTGCGTCATGGACATGTTTGTATATACATATATGTATACATGCCTATATGTATGTGTACACATATATACAAACATAAAAACCATACATGTGTACATACCTGCATACATACATACATACATACATACATACATACATACATACATACATACATACATACACACATACATACATACATCGTAGACTGCCAACTCCCGCCTAGTCTCACGCGGAGCGCCGAGACAGCCCCACCACGCCAGCACGCCTGGAGACACCAGGATCCCGCGGCGACGAGCGACGAGGAGGGGGGGGGCGGAGCGGGCGTTGGCCCTGAGAAGGCTAAAGACATTGCAACACGAGCATGAGAAATCATGACAGACGCAATTCATTTCCCACGGCACAAGCATGATCCTGGGGGGTCCAAACCCCGGTTACTGAAGAAGGGAAGCTGGACGTTTCTTGACCAGCGACCTTGTGCCCACATCGGCTCGGCGAGATACAAGTGAAATGAAAAATAGAAAGAGGACGGAGGAGTGGAGGAGGAGGAGCCAAAAACTTGAGATGGGGCCGGCTACGATCGTGACAACGATAAAGTGGCACACCATCAATCGTAGACTGCCAACTGCCGCCTAGTCTCACGCGGAGCGCCGAGACAGCCCCACCACGCCAGCACGCCTGGAGACACCAGGATCCCGCGGCCACGAGGAGGGGGGGGGCGGAGCGGGCGTTGGCCCTGAGAAGGCTAAAGACATTGCAACACGAGCATGAGAAATCATGACAGACGCAATTCATTTCCCACGGCACAAGCATGATCCTGGGGGGTCCAAACCCCGGTTACTGAAGAAGGGAAGCTGGACGTTTCTTGACCAGCGACCTTGTGCCCAAAATTCCAGAAACCTTCTTGGATCGGTTTACCGGAGGGCGGGTTTGGGTGGGACCTTTGAAAAACTCCAGGATCTGAGTGCCGAGCCGAGGTGTAAACTGCATTGCACGAGCTAGCTGTGCTGCTGAGAGCAACTGTCTGTTGCGCAGCCACCCTGCAGGTTTGGAGTATTGTTTGACTACTTGACAAAGAGCCAACGACCACGCTGCTAGATGGCACGTCATGCGATGGGCCAGCTTGACGCCGCAAGTGAGGGGACAGAGGGAGCGAGGGCGAGAAATGCTGCGCTCGACGCTTCCTGCACCTCACATCCCCCTTCCCAAGCGACACCTGAACAAACGGCCCTGTGGGCATGCGGCAGAGGGCCCTCAGAGGCTCACTCACCCAGTTCCTGTTGTGGGCCCCCGCGACGGTGGAGGCGTCGAACCCTCGGTTCTTGGCGGGGAGCGCCCCCGTCGCGGGGACCAGAGTGGCGATGGTGTCGGGGCAGCCAGGCCAGGGCAGCGTGACATCCGCGGCCGTCAGCGCCAGCACATCGCTCGGCCTGAGGCCGCAGTTGACGGCCACCCCGGACGCCGCCGCCGCCTCGCGCCCCTCGGAGCCCCAGCGGTTCCTGTCGTAGAACCAGTAGGCGGAGGCGAGCGTGAGGGAGTCGTCCCCGGGCGAGTCTCGTGGAAGTTCTGGTGCCGCCAGCAGACACTTCGCCAAGGCAACCTTTGCCAAGGGGACGGTCGCGGTGGCGCGTGGCGGCGGGCCCAGTGCGCAGGCCGACCCGTAGAT